ACATGAAAGTGACCAATCTCTCTAGTACTCTTCCACCACATCCATTTACACCACAAACAAAAAAGGTATTACAGCTGCTTATGCACACGGCGATCCAAATAGCTCCTCCATTAGTTATTAGATTTGAAAATAAATGAATAATTTTTAATTTGTGTCCCATTTCTTATACATATGGCATATCATACACTAATAGTCAAGCCAACATTTAAAAAAAATTTGTGAGCATATTTTTTTGATATGAATGATTGGAAAAAGCAGGTGGTTAAATGGAATGAAATATATTAAAAAGTGACAAAATATATAAAATAATTATTTCCCATATGATATTGACTAGCAGCAGATAAAATGTAAAATTATCAAAATGTGTGTTTTATATAATAAAATTACATGGCTGATAAACGTCACAAAATAATAATAAAAAATATAAATAAAAAACGTAAATATGAAACTTATCAAACTGTCCGGAAGATTATAGGACATAATTATCATTAAGAACGAATTGCGAAACAGACTAAAATCAATGGTTCGTCAAAAACGAAACAACCTTGTACTCTACTTAGGCGTAAAGGAATAGAGTATTATGACTCATGATATTTCCCTTTTTTTTTTTTGATCAGCAGAATCTCATACACTTTTATTTGGAAAGTAAAATTTATATAAAGTATAAAATACGTTCTCTTCTTTTGTATATAAATTAACTAAGCTGAAAGCTACCATTAAACTCGCTGCTCTTGAGGGGATAGTTCCCCTCAAGCTAGCGTGTCAGAGACCTACCATCATCAATTTTCTTAGAAAAGATGGAAAAGAAGTCTTTTCCATCATCAAGGAATTCCTCTATATTTTTATTTATAATAATATATCTAGATTTTTCTAGATTTTCTTTTTCATTTTCTATTCTAGCTTCCTCGGAGAAAGGCGTGATTGTATTGTGGAATAACTGAACGTTTTTACGATCGATTGTGTCCGAATATTAATATGGTAACGTATATGTTGTGCGTGCTTTTATGTAATATTATTAATATTAATAATGGATGAATATACGGGACTTGACACGGATATAAATGATAAATAATAATAATAATACTATTATTGATCAACATGCAATACTTGTTTCAATGAATCCTCTTGTATGCCCAGTCACTTCGTTGTAATGAGATTATACTGTATTGCATAAAACATTAAACGACACATTCAAAAGGCCAGATTAAAGAAACAAAGAAATCACTTGCAAACTTTAAAGTATACCATTTCCAAATACGTCAACTGAAGGGCTTCAAAAAAACATGCATGGCCTGAGGATGATGATTATATTAATATAGAAAAGCCTACGCCGCCTAGTTTAGATTATACTGGTGATGGTATTGGAGCATACAAAAAACGTGTTTGATAAATTTTGATAATAAAAAATCTGATTCATTAAATCTTCAAGTCAAAAGTAGAAGGTTATCAAAAATTCGCAGTTGGATATATCCTTGGTAAACGAAAATTTCATACAACTGGTTTAAAAAATTTATGTTTGAATATAATCAAAAATTAGATAACGGTGAAAACTGTACTGCAAAAATTGGGACATCAAGTCTAACTGGTAATATCATAAATAATCAAATCTAAAGATCAACCATGTTTAATTTTCCTCATTTAATTTGATGAATAATTAGTGAATCCTATGATAATTCGGATTGTTCTAGTACTAAGATTATTTATTCGGATCATCCATTATCCTATTTAACAGGATATCAGATTTGAAAAAGAAGCAAATGCTTGGCTGGAAATCGTGTTCGCTTTAGATGTTTTTGCATGGTGTCTATCATTGTCTACCGTTAGGTCTTCGTCTTTCTCTGACGTTTCGGACCATTTTGAAATGGCCAAAATCTGATGGTCTTGACTTGGGAGTAGGATATTAATCGATTATACAAAAATCGATTTTTCTGTTCGATAAAATTTTATAAATCGATTTAATTGAAAAATCAAGTGTATGAGAGAGAAATAAATAAATTAATAAATAAGCAAATAATATAATAACAATAATAGCAGTAGTAATAACAGTAGTAATAAATAATAATAATCATGATATAGTATATTTGAAACAACTTTAATATACATATTTCATTAATAATATAATAATAATAATAATAGTATAGTAATATTTGAAACAATTTTAATTTTAGAAATCAAAATTAAATGCCATAACTAACAAACAAATCCATTTTAAATGTTATAAGCATAATAATATACATGTATGAAAATGCAGATCATACATACATAAATTTTATATAGTTGGGCTCGGTCTAAAGACCTCCTAAATTTGTGCAAAATTTTAAAAATATAGAAGTCATTTTCAGTCCTACCTTTTAAAAAATAGCTCTATTAATTGATGGTATAGGTCTTTAATTTTAATGTAATAGAGAAATTTTCTCAAAAAAATTATTTGTTATAGAATTCTTTTTTAAAACATGCACTTTATAAGGAATTTGAACGCTAGGATCATTGTTAAATTTAGACTAGTTTTCAACCACCATCACTAAATTTAGACTAATACTCGACCATCATATCTAAATTTTGCAGTAAGGAAAATGATTTCTTAACGAAGACCTTTTCGAAAAATTTTTATTGCATTTTTGATTGAATCACGAAATCGCAATTTTTGAAATTTGAGCGCGTGGCACAGCAATAGGAGTCTTTAGCCAACCGTGTATGGAAGTAAAATTCATACGTTACATACATCAGGGTTGGCAAATGTATGGTCTATTAGTGATCATTAATGTAACAATTTAGCCATATTTAGTAATTTATTAATGGCAATGGACTATAGTACAAGTCACTTGGTCGCTGAACTTTTTATTGGCTGTGTAGATTCTTGATCTCCTCCAAAAATGGAAATGTATGACCAAAAAAACAAATCATAGAATTAAAGCTAAGACTTTTACCTACAATCCAATGATTTCATTTCATTGATATGTAACGTTACCATAGAGGAACGATGCATCAAAGTTCACGATGGCGTGTTACACGAAAAAAAATTATATTAAAAATGAACGAATTGGAAAGAATCGATCTTTATCACGTGATAATAATAATAATGAAATTTTACAACTGAGAACGTATTGCTTTTTTATGTATTACGCAATCACACATGCCATGCTACGCAAGATCAAAAATTTATCTATTTTAGCATCACGTTGACATTAAAACTAAGTTGGTTTATTTTTTGGTCTATTTATGTATATGTTTTTTGGCCACGAAATAGTTTATTTTATGAAAAACTACATCATTGTACAAAAGGATGCTAAGATGTTTCGCATCCAACTATTTTTAGGAGGTCTTTAGACCAAGACAGTTATATTTGGATAAAATTCTGCCCTTGACGATCTTCAAAAACACGTGACTAAATTTTTTTATTGAAATATTTTTTCTCAAAATTGGCGTCAATTTTGCCAACTCTGACATTACATGTTTTCGTAACACCGTAATAATAGTGTATATAGTAATAGTAATAGTAGTATTTGAAAAAATTTTAATTTTAGAAGTTTTAAAATTAAATGCCGTAACATAATATACATATATACATATATTTTTTTCGTTTCTTCACTAACTTGTAACGCTAACTCCTGGGTTGGCACCAAAACTAAAATTTGGGGTTTAGCAAATGTTCGATATTTTCCAAACTGGGATAATAAAAGCCACTGTTTTTCCAGTGCCAGTTTGGGACTTGGCAGTATTAGTATTATCATCCACGAAAAATATCCGCGATCGCCAAATCGATCTCTAAATAAGGATAACACGCACCCAACCCATCAATAAAAATTGGATATTCTGAGGTTTCACGAAATTTGTGGATAACTTACCACCTAATTCGGACATTTTCCGAAAGGCAAATCCTTTAATCCATGGAATAACAATGGATAAAGCTTCTGCCTTTCGGGGTGTGTGGCATGGATATTTCTGATGTTGATCTCCGGGATTTTGTCCGGATAACTCACTCTATGATCGACAAACTCATGGGTAGGATAATTATAATATATCCCTCTACAGGCAAAACCTTTATCCATGATGGCAAATGGATAAAGGTTTTGCCTGTTCGGAAAATGTCCGAATTACCTGTAACTTACACGATTATCTTGGCAGTGATATCTTTTTCTTCCAAAATTAGCAATAAACATTTGAAACGATTTTGATTTTACAAATATCATATGTATTTAATATACACATTACATTCTAAATGTGATAAACATAATAACAATCACAATCAATAATAAAAATTGGATAATGAAAAAAATCCCAATACTAATATTAGAAATATTTGGCAATTCCTTCTTCATTGTTTCACTTTTCTCTTATGCGGGACAACAAATTACTTTGTTACGAAATAGACTCAGCTCATAATCTGTCGACAAAAATTAATAATTTTTTACATCAAAGAATAATAAAACAAATAAACGGGGTTATCAACTATGCTGCAATTATTCAATGATTATATATTGCTAGTGTGTATATATATAGTCCTGCTGTTATCATGACAATTCTCTAAAGACTTTTTTTTAAAAAATAAATTACATATAAAATTTAAAATAAAAATGACAACATCGAATCTTCATACAAAAATCGATAATAATAATAATAATAATAGAACATTTTCCATTTCACATTCAAAATATTTTAAAGGACTTTTAATATTTGTCTTGGTATTCACATTTTTTAGATTAATTTATTTCCTTAATGTGCTTACATGTCAAGATGATGATGGAAATGTATGTTTATCAATATCGGAACTTCATTTGAAATCATATCTCAATCATAATAATCATAATATTACTTATGATATCAATAGTAGCATTAAAAGTCATAATAATAATAATAGTAGTAGTAATAATAGTACTGAAATAATAACAAATGATGAAGAACTTTATCTCACATTTATTCCTCATAGTGGATTTCACAATCAAAGAATTGCTTTAGAGAATGCAATATTTCTATCTTGGTTCTTAAATAGAACATTAGTTATGCCACCATCTTTGCTTGGAATAAGAAGACCATTCCGCCGATTGGAAAAAAATTTGACAGAATTGAGATCAGAACCAGCAGAAATTGTTTGTAAAGATGCCAAACTTAAATATAAATCTAGTTGTATTCGATTTCATGATTCTTATACATTTTATCAATGGGATAATTTATTCAATTTTAGTATTGTTGCAGAATATAATGTTAAGATTTTACCTGTAACAGATTACAGTGATAAGAAATTATTTAACATTTTAAATATAAACGATCCTTTGAATCAAGTTTATAAGTCATTCAAATATCACACCAATCATTCATTTTACGATTCAGATACTCTTGATGCTAAAGTATTAAAAAAAAATCCACATAAGGATTTTGAGTCTTTACTGGCTCTTAGAAATAACACAAAAAAACTTTTTTATTTTGGCAGTTTATTTGGAACACATAGAATAATTCTTGATTCAAGCGATGGAAAAAGATTCTTAAACAAAATAAGATCAAATCTGATGCCAAATAATAAAATAATGTTGGAAGTTGTTGATAAAATTGTTGATAATTTGGGTGGATTCTTAAATTTCATATCAATTCATGCTAGAATCGGTGACAATCATTTTCGTTCAAATAGAAATCAATATCTTAAAAAATTTATCAACAATGTCAATAATGATTTTCCAAATTTATCAAATTTTCAAAAAGCTTTGTATCCAAATCACTCGTGTCATTCTCAATCTTATTTCAATTATTCGACTCCGAATTTATTTATCACTAGTGATGTTACCAAAAACAGTAATTTGATTACACCCCTTATTGAAGCTTTCCCCTGTTTATATATGCTTTCAGATTTTGATCCTTTAATTGAACCTTATAGAACACTTGTGAATCCAATAGACAATAAAATATTACATAAATTTTTATTGCCTTTAACCGATCTTATGGTAGCTGCAAGAGCTTCAAATATTTACTCTATGCATGCTAGTACATTTGGTCGCTACTTAAATGCATATCATCTTTTTTTAAATAAAAACATAGATTGAAAATTATCCAAAAATTCAAAGGATAAAAATTCATCAAATGAAATAATGTAATATTGTGCAATCAAGCGGCAACAAACATTGCATTCAACACTTGATTATTTGCATTACAATTCGTTAATCTAATGTAATGATGATGATTATTATTATAAAAAAATAATAATGTAAATTAACACTCTTATTTTATAAAAATTTACACAATCTTTCGATCCTTTTAAGGAAAACATCAAATGGCTAATTCGTCTTCAAATGAACAACCATCACCATTAAAAAAAAACAAAATTAAACAGACAAAAATGTAGTTGGGCATGGACTTACTTTAAAACCGATCGAAGAGTACCAGTAAAAATTTTTTCAGTATTAAATGAAGCTGATAAAGAATGTGATGCTGTTTTTACTGATGATGGCTTTACTGGAAGCTAAACAGATCATAATGGATTAATCGTGCAAAAAAAATAAAGTAAGAATGACGAAGGAAGAGAAAATAACGTTATTAATAGTAATAATAATGATATTATTGATACAGTCAAACCTTATCACAGCGGATTATAATTAAATTCTTGCCGTAGCGGATTTTTAAATCTTTGCTTCCCATATAAAAACATATATAACAATAAAAAATTTCCTATGTGTCCCGTTCATCCGCTGTGACAAGGTTTGACTGTAATGATAATAAAAAAGTAGCATAGTGACCAAAGAATAGGTGATGCTCATCAATGTCTTTGGGTCTGAGCATTTTTCTTCCTGTGAAATTGCTTCAGTAACTTATTATCTTGTACATTGGTGTTATTTGTGATGTATTTTCTATGTGTAAGTTAAAATAATTTATATTTTTTAATCTTTCTCTCTTTTCCTTGTATGTGGCATATATGCCTTTATCTCTGTTGTATGTGAAATCGAAATTATGTGAAATTGAAATATTATGGAGTGGGGTGAAATTCTGATTGGCTAAGTTGAATTTCACATGTAAATTTGAATTCCACATATGTGAATTGCGAATTCACATAATTTCATTTTCACGTACAACATCTCCATAGATTTTATCATCTCTAATGTTCAGGAGAAATCTAAATCTTTTGTCCAATCCGAATCCGAAACTCGAAACTAATACTAGTTTATTTTACATGGCAATTTCTATTAATCCGTGATACGTGATAGAAGATAAAATTCTGAAAATTAATTAGTAAATTGTGGGGGATCATCACTATCAAATGGTTACTTTCTACCAGTACACATGATAAATATTACACAGAATATTAAATAAATATGATGCAAAAAATCTCAACCATTTTTTTGACATATTTTTTATTATTGTTTTCTTTACAAGTTTTTAACTTTGCTACTTAGCAACTCTGGATTTCAGAAAACATGGTGCAGTATGCACTTCTGTCATGGATCACGAATTAATTTATTTAGCGTAAGAAATTGGTACTAGTACTACATACGTTGTTCTTTTTTGTTTAGTTTTATAAGCAATAATCATTCGCAGATTTTTCTAAAAAGCCTCTAGAATCTGAGGTTTTACAAAGTTCAAATTTTTCTGCTTTTCCGGAGCTCAATAATGAGAGGAACGGAAATAAGTTTGCAGGATTCCTGCAACTTTTAATTGAGGTTCCAAGCAAAACCAAGGGTAAAAAACATATAGAAAAGTGAAAAATGTCACCGTTATTGATGGGGAAAATGATTGTGGATCGATTTTACTCATTCTTCATTGGATATAAAAAATTTTTACCTTTAAAAGTCTTTAATGTTACCATTATGTTTTGGGTAAAAAATGTATGGTTACACGAAAGGCGCGAAAACTATATATTTTTTTTTTTTTTGAAATAATTTATTTATACCTTTTCCACATGATAAATGTTTATAATAAAATCTTTTTTTCCAAGTAAACAGATTTGGTTTTTAATGCTTGGTTAGTGTGATAAAGATCAATACTGACTGATATGTTTTTTTTTATTAACAAGTTTACAACTGAGAAACAATGTAAACATTTTGCTTTTTATTTTTATTTACTATTATTACATCTTAGATCAAGACCAGTGTTGTGACCCGAAACTCTGAGTTTTAGGGAAAACCAGAAACAGAAACTAACAGAAACCATCCGAAACTAGTTTAGGTTAGTAGTTTATGTATGTTTATGTTTAGGTTTAGTTTTCTGCTTAGTGTAAGTTCATTTTCCGAAACATTTCGGGAAGCCAAAAGAGTTTCTGGTCACAACACTGATCAAGACAATAGTATATTTTATTAAATTCAAAAAATATAAATAGGATGGTCGCCCTCACATTTTTTTGTGGCATCAGCGTAGAAATATTTCAAGTTTAACCATGAAATCACACCATCATTATTTTTATTTATTCTAACAATTAGAATCGTTATGCGAATAATAATAAAAATTACATATACAAAGAGACGAATTTAATAAATTTAATCTTATTTGAGAAATAGATAGCCAAAAAAGTGAAAAGCTTCTTCACCTTTCTTGATGGATGTATATAATCAATAAAAATAATGAAAAGAAGTGATTGCTGAATATAAATAATAATAGAAATGATGGTAAAGGGCATAACAATTAATGGATGAGCCTTCTCATCCACACCGCTCCATTTCAACCATCATCATCTAATAAAAAATAGAAAATTAGTAATAAAAGAGCCACATATTTCCAAGGAATACCTTTGATGATAAATTACATACTTGGGCAATTTCTAGCAAATGTCGTTAGGGACATAATACAGTCAAACATCGATAAGCTAACTTTTTGGAATCACATGTTTAATTTTCAACACCTGATTAATTAATCTTAACCGGATAAACGGAGAATATTATCCAGCGGATATAACCACTAATTGGTTCAAAGTTGTTAATTTAATTCCAGTAAAGTATTAATGGGGGCATTTTCCAGTTAAACCAACTTCCGAAGTCATCTAAAAAATTTTTTTTTTAATTACACCATTTTGCGGCTTAAACAGATAGTAAATGTTACATAACATTTGCATTAAAAAATTAAAAAAGTAAATATTTTGTTTTTAAAAGTAAACAATTACACAGTGAATTCCGATTTAGCGGATATTAATAACTTGCTCGATTTTGCGGATATTCCCGATTTAGCGGATAAATTTTTTGGAACAAACATATTATTATACAAATCACGAGATCATGTGACACGAGTCATAATTTATTAATATATATATTAAAAATAATAAAATACAGTAATAAAATAATATAACTACAAAACAAAAAAAATATTTTATTCCATCATA